TGGAAGGTGTTTTGGACCGAACCCGTCGAATGCAGCTCGTCTACTGCCTCGTCAACTGAAATAAACGCATCCAAATTTCTGTGCCTTTACTAACAAAAACAAATAGCCTACGTAAGTGCATTACTAAATCAGTAGTTTCGCTTGATGCTTAGTGCCAGGATAAACATGGAATTTCAAGGGTATTTTCCATATTGCGTATGAAGCCACTGCAAACTAACAACATTAATTTCACGACATTGACGCAAAGAACAAGTGTTTCACATACCCAGAATAGTGAGTTGCATCAGTTGCATAAGAATCCTGCCCGAGGCTCGTCAATAGCATAAAAAGGTTATTGGAAAACGGTAACAAACAAAATTTACGATAAGAAGAAAGAAGTCAAGAATTGGTGGCAGTTAATCACTTCATAGCCCATAACACAGCAGTTATGGGGTATGAAGTGATTAACTGTGTTAACTGTGTTAACGTAGCAGCAAACTTGCAGCTTTGATATTGCTGCAAGTTACATGCTACCGTACAGTTCCTTAAGAAGTTCTTTAATAAATCAATCAAAGATGGTTTTGGCGACTTTCCTCGGGGGCCTAATGAATTTCGCCATTTCTTGCTTTATATCTAAGATCTTGTCGTCACCCTGAATAATTACATACTACTGTTTTCCTAAGCTCTAAAGCAAATTAGCACCTTGCAAAAGCTGTTCAATTAAATATTGTAATTATTGGGGGAAAGAGTTTGGGATGGAGTTTGCCACTTTGATTTTACAATGTATTTTGTATATATTCTATGCATCATGCAGTAGATAAATGACTACGACGGACTAGAAAAAAGAATTTAGATGTAAACTAGATACTCTTAATAAAAAAGTATTTTTATCCTGTAGGCATTCTTCGGCCTTTTTTGGTCTTTCATCGCTTTTGCAAAAATCCCCAGAAAAACTAAGGAATCATCCCGGCCCAAGTTGCCCTCTGAACAATCATCTTTTTGATCTTTTTAATTGTCTCTGTTTAATAAAAGTTAATTTGATTTGGACTTTAGATGTGTTGGTTTTGTGAATTTTGTACAAGACTGGGAAAACAAAATAGAGCAAGTTTGCGTCCTGTTTGTAACGTCTTACAATTTCCGCAAACGAAATTCTGCACATAAAGATCCGAACTTCCTAATTGAAACGTGAAACGAAATTAAAGATTTCTCTTACCCTTTGGAAATAAATTGTTCTTCAAAAAAATTTCATTCATCCTAGACTGTCTACTCATGGAGGATATATATTAGGAATTGCATAATTATTCCGTCATTCATATAAAACATTCGAATTCCATTTTTCTTCATTCCAATTTTAAATCTTCTTCTTTCGAATAATTCGAAAATTCGAATTCGAATATCGAAAGTTTCGATTTTTGAACTATTCAATTATTCCAAAGTACCTACCTTGTCACTTAGTTACTTAAATGGCCTGTCTTTACTCGTCGTGCGGCCCCGCATTGTTTCCATCCGTTTCTGTCTCTCGCTAGCGTCATCCACGATTGGTATTAAACTATTGCGGCGATGTTCGCAAGGCCAGGTCTACTACTCGTTATCAGCTGAGAAAGCTGGTCCATTCGTCAGCCCATCTGGTCGGTGGCCTTTTTCGAGGAAGTTTTGCTTCGCGAGGGATCCATCAGAACTCTTATTGTCTATCTGGTCTGTCCTTCTTATTTGACCAGCTCATCGATGTTTTGCCTTAGCGTAATCCTCTGGTTCGCGAAGACGAGACATTGATCTCCTATCTGAGGCAGTTGGAGAGCATTCTAATTCCATTTCCTGATCCTCCAAAAAGCGTTCTTCATGAGCTTTCTTCTTCCGATTAATTCTTAGTCTTATCCGCTTCCCTACTTCGTTTAGTTCTTTCAAAATCGTCTCCGCTTCAGGGATATTCCTCGAGAAGAATAATGTCATCCGCAAAACGAGAGTTCAAGAGGTATCTCCCATCAACTTGTATATCTCACTTTCTAACCCAATGATTTCATCACCCACTGCAGGCGTCGATAAATAGCTTTGGCGACACTGTGTCGCCTTGTCGAACAAATTGTCATGTAAAGGGGCGTGGGAAAAGCTGTACCGTTCTAGAGCAGTTCTTGTAGCAGTCGGCCAATGCCCTCACGTAAGGTGGGTCTACCCCTTGGTCGCGCTGACAGTACGGCATCAGTCTTAACGCTGCCAAACGCTTTCTCATATCGACGTAGTTTAAGATGAGAGGTACTCATTACTCTCGGCAAACCTCGATAATCCTCGAAACTGTTTGGATGTGATCTACACAGCTGATTCCCTTGCGAAATCTAGCTTGTTACAGGAAATGCTTTATCCAGTGTCCTTGATGTGTGAGCGATAATCTACATGAAGAGCTTGTAAAGCACGCTCAGCACGCGTATTGGAACGGTAGTTCTGAAGATCATTCCTATTGCTCTTCTTATGAAGAAGGATTGTTTTGGAGGTTCTCCACTAGTCGGAGATCCTTTCCTTTTGAGTAAGACGTTAGATGTTCCTCAACTGTCTCGTGTAGGCGATGTCCTCCATCTCGTAAGAGGTCGACCGAAACGTGGTCCGGTCCCGGAGCCGTGGCTGCCCTCATGTCCTAGATTCCGGCGCGTCAGCAAGTAGAATCCATGGTGGTATTGCTCTTATGAAGAAAGATTGTTGGAGGTTCTCCACTGGTCGGTGACCTTTCCTTTTGAGTAAGATATAGATATTTCTCTGGTGAGAATACGGTATTTGACACGAGTGTTGACGAGTGGAAGAGATTGGTGCAGATCGCACATTCCATCTTTTGTCGGAAAGATGTGCGAGCTTCGTTTTCCTTTAGTAGTGTTGTCAGAGGAACACGATAGTCGAGAAGGTCCCTGCAGTACTTCTTTGCACTTCTCCTTCCTTGTGCTGCTTCCAAAACTATCGATTGTCTGTACTTTCGAAGGTCTCTTTGTAAAGCTGTTCTGCAACTGGTGTTGGCTACCAGTCGCTCGAGATGTGATGCAGTCGAATCCAGCCTCAGTTCTCTCCTCCTCTCTAGCAGATCCTTGGTGGCTTTCAAAATTCGTCCCAAGTTTCTTGTTTGAAGCATTGAGGCGTTTTCATCACAGGCCCTCAGTTCTCTAAAAAGAGGGTCGTAGTCCTTCGTTGGGTCCTCTCGATGGGCCAGTCAGAAGTGGTCAGAAGCTCCTCCTATTTGAGCCGTCATATACGACTTCTCTCCAACACGGTGACGGATCTTTACCACCTTTCTGCTGAATCGCACTTTTGCTCGGAGGAAGTGGTGATCCGAACCACTGCTGAAGAATGGTACCACTGAGATGTCCAGTAAGCACCACTTTCGCTTGGTGAGAATGTTGTCGATCCCCGCATGAAGTACCATTGGGTGACTCCTATGTTTACCGTCGGTGTTCTTTCTTCATGAAGATGGAGTTGTTATGAAAAAGTAATGTAAGAACAAGACGGTTAAGATCCTCATTCCGGAGTCCTGATCCAAATCTTCCGATCCTATGCTCCCCTTCTTTTGACATCCCGATTTTTGCATTGACACTCACGACAAATTTGTAGAAGGACTTCTCTTTGCGGATGACTTCTTCCAAACCTCATAAAACGCATCAATTTAGGAATCACAGCTACTCATTTTGGAAAATAGCAGTTAATGATAGTGGTGGCTTTCTGATGCAGAGGACGGAGTCGAAGGATAGCCAGGCGAGAATCTCAATAAATCATGGATCCAGTGTGCAGGGCTGGATGATAGGATCTCATGTGAATTGACAAGGTGGACAACAGATGGGTGTACGACAAATCCAACGCCTCCAACGTTCCGTGATGGAACTTTCTCA